CAGACACAGGATAAACAACTCCACATTGTTGCGTCTTGTTCGCAGAGCTCATTGTGATGCGAGGACCGTGAGAGGAGATGTTTGTGAGCTCCTTGTGGAAGGTCTGAGAATTTGCCTAATTCTTTTGACAGCAGTGGAGTAGACAGACTCAATGAGGTGTGCAGGATTAACACCCAAACCGCTTCCTGTCCCCCACCACCAGACCCTAGATACTTCTCTACATCTCTCATTCTGGGAGACTTAAGAGAAAATGCTGTTTGCATTGCATTTACCTTATAACAAAGTTACAGAGTTTTGGATTCACCAACAAATCAGAGAATCAAACAGTTCTAACACAGGAAATGCAATAATAACAAACACATAGGAGCCATTGGTCCATAGAGAGCGGGATGACCACTGTCCAGACACCCTCCTGCATCTGCAAAGAACAACTCAGAACTCTCATGGGGGGAGGGGGGTAAAACCCTCAGTGAGGCCCATAATGAGGGAGGGATCCACTCCCATGGACGGACAGTCCATAGATCCAGAACTGAGGCTGTAGATCCAGGATTCAGCCTGAGGCCTGCTCTACTAAACTTGAGATTGCAATTTGTTGATAATTGCATTTTTGACACAGCTCTATCAGCAGTGTTTTTTTGTTTTTGTTTTTTTCATAAATCCAGGTGCCACCACTAAAAAAAATTAAAATGGGAACTGGTGGAACTGTTTGATTTTATAATCTGCTGTTGGTGAGTCCACAACTTTGTGAAGTCCTTTGCTTTACTGATTTAGGGTGAAGGACAAATGCGTTGAATTGACACTGAATATTTCCAAAATGGAATGGTACTCCTGAAACTTAAATGTAAAACTTTCTTGTTTGCTTTAATGAAATAAGTTGGGTTCATGTGACATCCAAACATTTCAAAGAGCCTATATTTACTATTGTGATGGAGGACAGGTAGGTATTTGTGATCCCTGTGTGGCAAGCTGGACATGGCCACTATAATTGTGTCCACTAGAGGGCGAATAAAACGTATAAATAACTTCTAGTCCTTTGTTTACGTCTGTACTTCCGTCTCCGGTGCTTGGTCGCACCAGTTCTACTGTTCACATGAATGTTTGTAATGTCCTAATGTTGTTGTTGTCGTTGTAAGGCCCTGTTGCCAGCATGTCCTGCTCGATGTTGTCCAGTCGTTGTGACTCCTGGCGGCCCTCTGGGTTGGGTTTGTAAACCGTCACCAGTCATGGGTGCGCACTCAGCATTTTTCTGAAACACGCTGAAAGCATTATGGTTGTGCTGTGAGATTTCATAACACTTTGAAGCAACTGTTGTTAAAGTTAAACTCATCATTCTATCAATGTGCAGAAGCCAGTACTTTTCCCTTGTTTTGTCTATCTGAAGGCCAAGCTACATGGCACCGTGGAAGCTGCTGATTGGAGGTCTCCATGCCTCCGCTCTGTATAATACACTTGCATTCTGTTGTTCGTGTTGTTTGTGCTGTCTCTACCATCGACAATAAAACATGTCTTCTGTCTGAATGAAAGACGCGATCCCAGACTTTGTCATCTTCTTCAGTGCCTTATAGCTAAATCTATTTTAATATACAGTATAGGTTGGGGACTGGCTATATTGCGGCCCACCGCAGCTTTCTCCAACTGTTTCTTCTGCTGTTTTTCCTATGACCTGTGCTCCTGAATCCATTGCGAAAGGAGAAGTGCATGTGTGACAAAATGTCACAACATTTCTTTGAAAAAAAAATACATTTGAACGAAATGGATCAAATGTAATAATTCCAAGTTACTTATATCTTCTTCTGACTGTGATTGACAAGCTTATACACCCTAATGCACTTTATTTTGGGCACCGCTACCCTGGCGTTGCTGGTCTTTTAAAAAAAGATAATATTATCTTATGAGCGTGCCACGGCCTCTACTACCCACACCTTGAACAATCCACATAAAGCAGAAAACCTGTCACAAAGTCCCACATTTTCAATATAAGGTCTCATCATTTTCTCATACAATCAAACACATATGATTGATGTTGTCCGAGGGTTAGGGTTAGGGTTACCCTAACCATCCAAGAGCCAGGTCCTCACCCAGCTATAAACATAAAGTTGTATTGACAACTCCCCCCCTACTGAAATGCGTCACACCAGTCTCAGTCCTCTCTGTCATCTTTGGTCCAGTCTCTGTCCTGCTCCAGTCTCAGTCCTCTCTGCTCCAGTCTCTTTGGAGCATTTTGACCTCTGGGGCCAATCAGCCGTGGCCCTTGGTGTGAAGGTCGCGTCCTGGAAGGTCCTCGCTTCTCCAGGTGTCACCTGCAGACTTCAGTCATATTCCACTCTCTTCCCATTGAGATGAGACTTTGTGGCCCCTGGATCATTCGTGTGGAGCCGAGGCACAGGCTAATCCTGGCTGGGGGGCCCCTCTGTGGTCTATGCAGGGGTCCTGATGCTGTGTTTAAGGCAGTGTGTGCCGTGGACTGGATCAATGGCAGACAAAGGCCCTGTAGGAGGCTGTCTGGACGTTTAGACAGATCAGACAGGTCACAAATGAATGAAAATGTATGGCATAGAGGCCAGGGCTCGTCTGAGAGAAGGAGCAAAACAACAAAACCTGAAGGGTATAATAACTTCATTATAGCAGATGATAACAACATGATGATCAATGAATGGAAATGTCTTCAGAATTTGCATATCACTGCAGCGACACAGCTCACCACAACAGCTTCACAAAGACTTTATAAAGAGATGCATAAAAAAGGAACATTGCTCCGATGCGATTGACCTCTCCTTCAACCCCACTGAGACGAGAGCACTTTGAATCACTGTGGTGCTCTACAAATAAACTTGCCTTGCTGTGCTTTAGCGCATTGAATATGGAGCTGGGGCCTTTATCTGAGCTTATCTGAGGCATTTGAAAAAGATTCGTTTTTTATTTACAGTTTTCCAGAAAGAACGTAAAGTTTACAGGGATTTTCAACATGAAAACAGAAATATGAAACTGTTATGAACACAAATAAGACAGAGGTACTTGTTCTAAAATGTCCATGACATAGGTACTTGCTTAATGACTTAATGACTATCCTTCAAACATCTTCCACTTGTCCCAAGTTATAAATGTTTGATTGAAAACCTGGATGCTCAGCTTTGTGGATCAGCCTTTTGTATTAAAGAATGAATAGTATTACAGTTGTTTAGATTAATTACATGTTTAGATTGTGAAAAGATGTAATACAAGTATGATGGGTAAAAATTGCTTCCCGCTAATAAGTGTGCTGTCGCCAGAGGGAACTGCAAACACAGACTGTGATTGTAAAGGAGCATTTTTTTTCCTGAGAACTCACTAAAACCCATTTTTGAGCAATACTTTTGTTTTAAAAGCAGAAAACTGCTCTCTGTGTGATGCCACCCCTGGTCTCTCTCTGGTCTCTCTGTGATCTCTCTTTCACTCTCTGGTCTTTATTTGGTCTCTCTCTGGTCTCAGAACATGTCTCATTTAACCTTTTGAGGACTTCCCTATTCAAAAATAAATGTTAAATAAGTCCCACCTACCCAGGATAAAGCGAGATTTCAACAAGGATTTCAACAAGACAAGAGACTTGGTGTCCCAGTGTACAGTGACCCACTTGTTACTGCTGACCGTGGAAAAAGCTAAATTAATAAAGCTCACTGTATTAACAGCCATCACCGTCCGGGTCTCTCTCTCTCTGGTCTCTCTCTGGTCTCTCTCTTTGGTCTCTCTCTGGTCAACCTCTCTGGACTCTTTCTGGTCTCTATCTCTGGTCTCTCCCTCTCTCTGGTTTCTGTCTCTGATCTCTCTCTCTCCTTGCGGTCTCTGTGCACATCAACTGGTCTAATTCATTAATTAATTGTCAAATAAAGAGCCAGAAGTTTCCGATTTTAACGTGGATGGATCTCCACACAACACCAGGTCTGTGTTTGAGGGAACAACGTTGCAACATGATTGAGCTTGCAGAATATGTGGATGTTACGTTGGTGTCTGTTGAGCTTTGACATCATAGCTGGTTGTAGCCGCTCCTCTAGACACAGTCGTCTTATCTCTAGCTAAAAAAGAAAGTTGAAACGCCCGCTGATCAAACCTGTGAGTGGAGATAAAAGCACAACAGACCACTTTTACTGCTTCAAACACTCATGGTTCAGTTCTACAGTATGCTATCACAAACTAGTATTATTTTTTGCTACAGTACATAAAATCATATGAAATCATTAGACTTATTGTGCAACTTTATTAGATCTGAGCTAATCATTATAACAGTCAGTAGAAATCAGTGACTTCCACTTTTCCTCTAAAACATGGGTGTCATAGTCAAGGCCCAGGGGCCAGATCCAGCCCGCAAGGCCATTTTTAGTGGCCCCTAAAACAATTTTTTATTATCATTAACTAGCAGCATTGATAAAAAATGGCCGACCAGACAGGTTATACGTCATCTAATTTCTCAGGAAAACAACCAAATTTAATGGTTTCTAATTTTTAACCCAATAACACATCAATAGAAGTTAAATAGTTCAATATAAAACTTTATATTTGATCCAGTTTTGGTTCAAATCTAAACAATAAAATAAACCACAAAATAACAGTGAAACTCATGTCACAATAAACTCATATGAAATATCTTCATAATGTAAAAAACTGATAAGAAAAAGAAATTTCTTTTATTCTTTTGGCCCCCAACCAGTTCCTTATTTTTTTTAAGCGGCCCCTGACCATAATCCATCGAAAGATGGATACAAAGCTGTGGTAGGCAACTTTTAATTTATCAAAAATATACAATAACAAAAAAGTGGAATAGACAACTCTCGCTCAGATGAGCCCAAAGCATAAAACAGTGATCAAACGGTTGGTCTTGTCTATGTTTAGCTCATGACCCCATGTGTCTCACAGCAGTCCAGTGTGAGACATGTAACATCTGCCTCTATTAAAGGAGTGCATTAGTTTGAGGAGGACTAATGGCTGAAGTATGCTCTATCAGCCCACACTATCAGCAGGTGCTTCAGATGAGGATGGCTCCGTCTCCCGGCTTAAAACGGATCCAAGACAAGAGCTGGGCGAGCGTGCCAAGTCCCTCAGGTCAAGTGGACTTCCTTATCAAGCTGAGATGGTCTGGGCCCTCCCCGAACTTCAGAGCAACCACTCAGAGACTGGGCTGGACGCTGAGCAGTGTACACAACAGAAGGAGCAGTGAAGTCAATGGACAGACAAATGGTCTGAGTTTTTAAGTTTTTGGCAGAAAAATTCTGTAGGTTGATCATTGTTTTAACTCAAGGAACTCTTTTTGGACTAGAAGAAGAGAGGAAAGGAAGAGGGTTGAAGAAGATATAATCGTGGGACCTGGAAGAAGCGTTGTGGTCAGGATTGTAACGGTCAAATAAGATGGTGACTGTTTGGCGTCTTTGAGAAGAATGCAAAAGAGAAGACCAGATTTTAAAACAAGATGAGCTAATGTTTTTTTTTTTCTTTTCTTTTTTCATTGCAAATTCAATGGTAAATAAGAAGACGAAAGACTGGTTGACTGATTTATTCTTGAAATATTATTATTGTTGAAGGATTATGAACATACATTTACCACATTGTGCATGTGCGAAGACAACTCTCCAGCGGTTGTAATCAGAAGAGGATAAAAGAACGAGGTAGAAAGCCTCAATCTTTTAACTGGAGTCATTTTAAAGTCCCAAAGCCCAGATAACGTGCTGATTCGATTGTGCTACTATATCCTGTCTCTGTGCTGGACAAGAGTTAGACAGAAAGTGATCAGCAATTTACAAATATTTGTAAATGCTGAGAACCACATATCTGTAGATGGACTGAACTAAAGTGCACACGTTGACCTGAGCTCAGGCGGCGGTTCCAGGGGTGGAGAGGTGGACCAGACCGGAGCAGACTGCCCCTCCCCAAGCATTGGGTCCCTCCTCGCGGCCGCGGGCATCCCCAGGCCACCATGACGGAGTGGACATTGCTCAAACGCCTTCTGGATGCCGTCCACCATCACTCCACCATGATCGGCCGCCTCTGGCTCACAGTGATGGTCATTTTCCGGCTCTTGATTGTGGCGGTGGCGACTGAAGACGTGTACACTGATGAGCAGGAAATGTTTGTGTGCAACACCATGCAGCCGGGATGCTCGACCGTCTGCTATGATACGTTCGCTCCCATTTCTCAGCCACGGTTTTGGGTTTTCCACATCATCAGTGTCTCAACTCCATCGCTTTGCTTCATTATCTACACCTGGCATAACCTGTCCAAGCAAACCGGTGCCCATAAGCACGGCCAAATGCAAGAAGCATACACCAAGCAAGCCGGGTTAGAATCAGGCAAAGATGGCGGGAGAGAGGCCTACGACCGGACCTGCGATTCAGACAGCTGTTCTGTTCGGTCTCATAAGCATTTGGGGCATAGTTTGGCAGATGCATTGGATGGTATTACAATCCAGCAACTTCAAAAACTGGAATCTCTGAACAAGGCACAAACATTCAACGTGAAGGAAGCTAATATTGAGCCGCAAGCTCTCTCTGGAGGAGTTCTGTCTAAATGCTACATATTCCATGTGATCCTGAGAGCCATCTTGGAGGTTGGTTTTGTGTTGGCTCAATGGAAACTCTTTGGATTCAAAGTCCCAGTGCATTTCTTGTGCACGTCTTCGCCTTGCAGTCAACCGGTGGACTGCTACGTGTCCAGACCAACGGAGAAGACCATCTTTTTACTCTTTATGTTTTGCGTCGGCGTATTCTGCATCCTTCTAAACCTGCTCGAGCTCAATCACCTCGGTTGGAAGAAGATCCGTCAGTTTGTAAAGCTGAAAGAGCGAGCTTCTTGGACGGCGTACCCTGGAATCCGAAAGGGTTATGAAAGCTTGCCGGCGGACAGTCCCATCTCCTCATTGGGTTACAGAGACGTCACCAGCACCACTTCGCTACCCACTTTGAACCTAGTTGTGAGCCACCAGCCGGAGTGGACGTGTGCCGCAAATTGCGGAAAAGTAAAAGAAGCAAAAGAAGGCGGAAATGTTGTATTGAAGCAGCCGAGAAGGCACGGTTCGAGTAAAGGAGAGAGACGGTGTTTTAGGGGTAAAAAGAGTGCAGAGGTCTGGATCTGACCTGGCAACAAAGCAAGAGAGATTGATCAAATTGTGATGTTGTGTTATGAATAAGGTTATATACAGTGGGGCAAAACAGTATTATGTCAGCCACCAATAGTACAAAAAAAAATCTAGAAAATCAAATGTATTTGCAAATTATGGTGGGTAATAAGTATTTGGTCAATAAACAAAGTTCATAATTGCTCCCACAGTTGATTTCTTCACACCAAGCTGCTAACTTATTGCAGATTCAGTCTTCACAGTCTGGTGCAGGCCTACAATTTTGTTTCTGATGTCCTTCGACAGGCCATAGTGGATTTTGGAGTGTGACTGGTTGTGAACACATATCTTTCAAACAGTCAATAATAGAGACAATGAGTGGAGGACAGAGGAGCCTCCTAAAGAAGGAGTTACAGGTCTGTGAGTGCCAGAAATCTTGCTTGTTTGTTGGTGACCAAATTCAAATTTTCCACCATAATTGGCAAATAAATTATTTAAAAGTCAGGCTGTTGTAATTCTGTCTCTCATTTGAGGACTGTGGAAGAGAGATTGAAGATGTAGCTACTGTCTATTTGGACCCACATTTATTAAAAGCATGTTCGTTTGTCATTATCTCAACAAACAGACCCATGCTTATACTGATTGTTCATGGAACTCTGGGATATATCAGGAGATAGGACAGTTATTAGTTTACTACACCACACATGGCACAGATTTCTTAACACAGTCTCAGGATGGATGTCAAAAATCTAACAAATCTGACGTAACAAAGAATAAACCTCTTTTACTTCGCCGTCACCGAGACGTCTGACATTGATCATTACCACAAATACATAAGAAAGAAGAGATATACATTATTTCCACATCAAATCCATTAACAATTGTCCCTTGTCCAGTCAAACCAGCTCAAATGAAGAACTTGTTTAATCACTGTTTTGTTCAGTGATTCTGGGAGGAGGTCCAGGACTCTTGTGAGTAAAACCAGCAGGTTTAAAAACTCTGTTGTGCCTCACTCATAAAAAGTCACTGCACAGATGTGTTGTGAGATTTCATAACACTTTGAAGCAACTTTTGTTAAAGTTAAACTCATCATTCTATCAATGTGCAGAAGCCAGTACTTTTCCCTTGTTTTGTCTATCTGAAGGCCAAGCTACAAGCACACCGTGGAAGCTGCTGATTGGAGGTCTCCATGCCTCCGCTCTGTATAATACACTTGCATTCTATTGTATCTGTGATCGTGTGCTTTGATCGTGCTGTCTCTACCATCGACAATAAAACATGTCTTCTGTCTGAATTAAAGACGCGATCCCAGACATGTCATCTTCTTCAGGTGGTGGAGGATGCGGGCATTGTCTGTAACATCTAGAGAACAGAAGACTACTTTTTTTTTTACACAAAAAGTGTTTTTTTTTAAGCCAAAACTGAAAAACCTCAAGAGAAACAATGCATCTGGACCAGCACTTGGACAATCTGCACAGCCCCTGATTCCAGTCAGGCTGTGAGCTGCTGAGACATGGACAACACCAGCGTCCTCTTTTGCAAGGACATAATTTGGAACAATCTGGATTTCTGAATTTGGACATAATTTGGACTGAATTGAATTGCTGAATCTGGACACTGAAGCTGAAACGTGTGATTGAAAGACACGTCACAGAAGAATTCATGGCTCGACACAACAAATGCAGCTGAAGAAACCAACACGGAGAAGTGGGAGAGACTGTTTTCAAAGCAATATCTGGAACCACCATCGACTGATGAAGTTTGGTATTTTACTGAAGATTGTTGACAAGTTTTATGAAAGATCTGAACATGTTTTATGAGTTTTCTGAGTTTTTGAAGTATTCCGAGTTCTGAGTTTTTTGAAGTACCGAGTGAAGTATGAGTTTTGAAGTATTGAGTTATGATGTTATGTTGCTGTTTATCGATGTGAATGTGAGATTTCATAACACTTTGAAGCAACTTTTGTTAAAGTTAAACTCATCATTCTATCAATGTGCAGAAGCCAGTACTTTTCCCTTGTTTTGTCTATCTGAAGGCCAAGCTACAAGCACACCGTGGAAGCTGCTGATTGGAGGTCTCCATGCCTCTGCTCTGTATAATACACTTGCATTCTATTGTATCTGTGATCGTGTGCTTTGATCGTGCTGTCTCTACCATCGACAATAAAACATGTCTTCTGTCTGAATTAAAGACGCGATCCCAGACATGTCATCTTCTTCAGTGTGATGTTTGAGACCTGACGTTCTTTTGTTAATGTGGTACTCAAAACAAATGAATGAAACTGAAGTCATTTTAATTGAAGGTATGGTATCGTTTGATTTGATTTCAGAGCAAAAAAAAAGAGGAATTTGAGGGTGGAAGATATAGCTAATGTTTCTTTGAATCCTCATGTATTAAAATAATGTTCTGTTGTCATTATCCATCCATTTCCCGCTTCATCCGTTGCCAGGTCGCGGGAGCAGCAGTCTAAGCAGACGCCCAGACTTCCCTATTCACACACGGCGGCACGGTGGCTGAGTGAATAGCACTCTTGCCTCTCAACAAGAAGGTCCTGGGTTCGAATCCTGGTCGGACCAGGGCCTTTCTGAGTGGAGTTTGCATGTTCTCCCTGTGTCTGCGTAGGTTTCCTCCGGTTTCCCCTACCACTAAAAATATGTACAATAGGTCTGGCATGTGCCTCCTGTTCGGCGACCCCGCTCCCATCTCTGTGTGGGGTGAGAGGACAAGTGCCCAAAAATAACAATTTTAAACCGCTTTGTGACTCTGGTCTGTGAAAGGCGGTATATAAATAAAGATTACTTACTTACACACTTCCTCCAGCTCATCTGGGAGACCCCCAGGCCAGTCCCTCCAGCATGTCCTGGGTCTTCCTGGGATGTGCCTGAAACACCTCCCCAGGGAGACCCTTCCTTTAGACATATTTACTGATTAATGTGTGAATTGTTGTTGTTCTTGTTTAGTGATTACCCTCAGTATTTTCTTGTATGCCAAAAGAAAAAACAAACAAAACCCTTTGAATCTTTGTTGTTTATTTATGCAATAGATTTATCATTATATCCATTTACAACACTTATTAAACACCTTTGCATTAACAATGCACCTGAAAAAACAAACAGACAAACATGTGCAGCAAGGACTTTGTGTAAATACTGAGAGTGGGTGCTGCAGAGGTAACCACCTGGTGGGCGACCACCAGGACTTCAGGACCACAAACAGATCCAGGATCAGTTCATTTGGGTTAATATGTGGAATATGGTGTTGGTGTCCTGCATTCAGAAATAAATAATACAACTGATTAATGACAGAAAAAAATGAATGGCATTCTATTAAAAAATAAAAACCTTTTTATTTGTCCTTAATATACAGTATATTGTGACTTTTAATGAGATGGTTAGGGTACCTAACTTTTAAGCTACAAAAGATGAAACTATAGCCCCATTTCAACTTGCCCTGTTTAACCAGTACCAGGTGCTTCTTTTAGTCCCTCTTAGCTCTGGTTCTATCCAGGCTGAGCTGGTACTAAAGTGTTCTTACTGACAGTGATTGGCCAGAGTGCTGCTGAAGGCCATGGTTACCATGGTTCCATCATACTATACTATACTATATCTGTAACTGTATCTTAAAAGTATGCATAAGATGAAAAGTTTTTAGGATGGAGACGGGTGGTCAGATTCGTTTGTGACAGAGTGATATGAGCGTGGTTGAAGCTAAGCACAGCTTGGTTTATGTAAAAAGCAAGAACAATATATTTTAAAGTTCAGCTAGATTTAAAACAGTGATACACAAACATTTCACAGAACATGTATAAAAACATAAGACCCTGAATGCAGGACATGGACATCTACCCAGAACCCAATCCCATGATCAGACATGAAACACAAGAACCAATAGTAAAGCAGCTCTTTTCACTGATCTGCTCTCAGTCTGAAACACTTGAGGAGCTGTACACAAGAATATACAGTCTAAACCATTTGAACCAACTTCTATAGGCACAGGACACTCCAGTCCCTGAAGCGCTGCTACTTCGGAGCTCAATACTGGTCCATCTGCAAATGTTAACATCTGTGAGTGATGTCCAATTAAAAGGAAGGACTTCTGTTGGAGATTTTGAGTTGTTTTCTTGAAAGTGCTAAGTTGAGACGGTGTTTGAAACCGATTGGTTCAACTGTTTCTGGTTTGGATTTAGTTTTTGGCAAAACTATGGAAAACAATGACAAGTCTATACAATGTTTTGATAAATATAACTTGTGAAACAGTACAGACTTCAGACAAAAGTGCAAAAAAAGTACAATCAGTAGAGCTCCAGTGCTTAACAGGAAACAACGGCATGTTTCTTTTGTGACATTTCTTTCACCCTGAATCTGAAAAGTAAATACATCTATGTATAAATTTAAACTTATCAAAGAGTACATTTCTCAGGCAAAACAGGTCATACAGACAGTCGGAGATTAAACATGAGAACCTCACATAAAAGCAGCTGCTGATAAAGACTCCGGTTGGAATAATCATCAAGATTAAACAAAACACACAAAAGTGGAATATGAAAGAAAACAAAAAGTGCAAAAGTGGATTAAAAACAGTAAGAAATGTGTGCTGATTATCTAGGAGCCTACAGTCAATTCAACCAGTTCACATTAGATATAAGGCCTGGACTCAAGGCCTGGACACACCAATCGGAAAGTTTCTGCTATAGTTTATAAATAGAATAATCCAATTATCTTTCAGATTTACACAGGCCTCTTCACTGGGACCCTACATACCACTTATCATTTGTAATCATTCTATTTTTTCAGTTGTTTGCTTTAAAATGTTTCATAAGACGACATTGAGTTCCCAGAAAGGTGTCATGGAAATGAAATGTTTTCTTTGGTCACATCACTTCCACCACGTCTCCCATATCTGCGGAAAATTGTCCTAAAGAGACCAGAGAGAGAGAGAGATCAGAAAAAGAGACCAGAGGTGCCTAGCAACTTTGACCCTAGTCTTGTGTGGTGTGCGTGGCTCCTCCTCCTTCCAGGTTCTAGCCAATAGGGTTGGAGTTAGGGTAGCACCTGAAGATGGGAAAAAGCACTCAAAATCAATAGACGGCCCCCACCATGTAGCAGCAGCCTTTTGAATTAAATGTTCTGTTTTTGTAGTTTTAAACATTAATGGACTTGATTGGTGTGCACTTGCTCTTAGTCCAGTGGCAAATTGTCAAAACATTCAAAAACTAAAAAAATAACTACAAAACAAGGCACACAACAAGACATAATAACATTGTGTAAAATAGTTCAGTAGTTTGCACAAACACTTTTAACTTCCACATGATTCAGGCCTCAATATAGATTCCAGAAATCTCTGCATTTTGGGATTATAAACTCTACAAATGTTAACTCACAGCAAAACCAAGACATCATTCAAAACACACACGTTTTCAGTTCAGTCAAACCAACATCACGAGATCCACATGGTTTGCGTGACATCCACATTTAATGGCTTGGGTTTGTGTTCATTCATAAATATATATTATACTCAGATGATGAGCCACATTTGGGCAGGACTCAAAATCCCTCATGCACACAGCTCTAGGGAAGAGACTAGAGAGACCAGAGAGAGACTAGAGAGAGACCGCAAAGAGATCAGACAAAGTTCTATTCTTGAACTCTCTCTGAGAAATATGTATTTATCTTCTCTGGATTAGCTCTTGGCTCCTCTCTTCTGTCTCCTCTTTCCTCTCTCTTTTCTCCTCTCCCGTTCTGTCTCCTCCTTCTCTCCTCTCCCATCTTCGCTCCTGTCTCCTCTCTGTTAAAGATTGCCACAATAATGTATTTCTTATTTCAACATCCTGTTTCCGTGTAAGGTTTGGAATCGGCTTAATTTATAAAATGTGCCGTTCGTCCAACATAACAGCACCGAGGAGAACCGAGGAGACACGAGGAGAACCCCCTCTGTCGGCAGTTGTCTCCTCGCTCCTGCAATGAGCCGGAGACCTTTGGGGTAGAAGTTATCTTTGTGGTCCAGTGTGGTCTCCAGTGTGGCCCTCACTGCAGTCCGGTATGTGGACTCCGGAGGGAGCCCTCACTGTGGCAGAGGCACCAGGACCTGGACGTAATTGATGGGGAAGAAGCCCGAGTCACCATGAATCATGCCCTCGTACCAGTTTTGGTCAATCTGGTTTGTGAGGATGATGATGTCGCCCTCTTTGAACCCCAGCTCGCCCTCGTTCTCTGGCTCGAAGTCGTACAGAGAGCGGCAGCACGGCTGGTCCAGCACCTCCTCCGTCTCTGTGGGGGAGAGAGAAGTAAAATTAGAAAGTCTCCTCTTTTCTCTCCTCACTCCCCTCCTCTTTCCTCATTCCCCCCTCTCCTCCTGTCTCTCCTCATTGCTAACCCTCTTCCTCTCTTCTCTTCTCTTCTCTTCTCTTCTCCCACAGCCCTGTGGATCGTCAAACTCCACACAAATGAATGCAAATGAAGATGCTGCTTATAAAAAGGGGGAGTAGACTCACGATGGTTGCCGTTGGAGACGGAGCTGTCAGGCCACGCCTCCGGAGCTGATGTGATGAGATCGGCTTCACAGGAAACACAAAACACAACATGAACACAGAGGTCATGTGACAAACACACTGAGGTCATGTGACACACAGACATGAATGCAGAGTTCATGTGACTCACACACTGGTAACACAATAGAAGCAGTTCATAAGTTCATCAGTTTCTCATTGTTTGATCAAAAAATAATAATCTTGCTGATCTTTGTTATTGCAGTTATATTTTAATTTTGGGGGAACTGTGTCCAAGTAACTTTTCTTGTGGATATAAATAAAGTTTGTCTGAATACACCCCAGAACTATCCCCAACACTTCTATATTTTGAATTTGATTTAAAAATAAAAAACGTTGCGTATCGTGAAATATGTTGACTACGACTACTACTACTGCTACTACTCACCCACATCAGCAAAAAATAAATAAAAATGGATTCCACTGCCCCTAATTTGAACCTAGAGATCAATCACACGTCCTAAGAATGTGTATATAATCATTTTTTTCGTATACTGTATTTAGAAATTATTTATCCGAAAGTGCTGGGCAGAAGAGGCAGTTACAGACATTCACCACTGGGTAGCACTGCTGCTCTTCTAAAACAGCCACAGAACAATACATTACCTCTATAATTCTTACTACCTTCATCCCACTCACTTGACAAAATAAACTATGACGTAACTGCTGATAATAAACCTGGATTTCTTCTCGTTTACTAATAGCCACAGGTATATAAAAAAAAAAAGATAAAAGGCATACGTACTGTTCCCATTGTCTGTGTGGAGCTGGTGATCTGCAAAAACACAAAACAATGCAACTCAAACACAAGAACACAGCATGTAACATGATGGTATTAAGGTCACTACAGAAATAGTGTGGCTGGCGTGTATAAAAAAACACTTCCTGATTACTACACGTGAGGTGACGCTGTATGACAGATGCTGCTTGACTGGTCTTATGTTCGACATTAAAGTAGCAATATGAAATATTTGCATGTCAAGTCATCATTAAATGGCCAATGGCTGATATCAAATGTCCAAATTTTAAAAATATGCAAACGTTCATTCAAAACATTTATTCAACATTAGCACGGCTCATGGCAATGTGAATGGAGACAGACACACAACTGATAAAATATTTCCCTGTGTTTGCTGCTGGATTTGGTGTGTATCTGGCAACCTGAGTCAGAGTGGGAGAAGACTACAAAATATTGACTGTGACTGCAGTACCACTTTTGGCCAGATTTTTACATACTGCTCCTTTAAAGCCAATCAGCTTATTGGTTTTCCTCCTGACTTTGCATAACACTACACACCCCCTCCCCTCTCCTCACTCCTCTCCTATCTCATCTTGTTGCTGCAGTACAGTGTTCATGGTTTTACACTGGTCCAGACCAGAGACTAGAGGATTCATGGTCTGAACCAAGTGGATCTAACTTTTTGAAAAATGCGAATGAACCATTCAGCATATTACTTTGGACCAGAGCAGAGAAAATGCTCCGAACCAAGCGGCTGCTCCACCTTGTGACCCGTCCTGCTCCACCCAGAGGCTACTCCACCTCTGCTGCTGTGACCTGAAGGGCTGTTGCTGATTATTTGTTTGGTTTTTTGAATAATACATTTTATTTTTCATTTTTGCTGCTACTGGACACCAGAATTTCTCCGACAGGGATCAATAATGTATCTATCTATCTTTCATCTCCTCTCCTCACTCCTCTCCGATCTCGTCTTTCATCTCCTCCCCTCACTCCTCACCTATCTTATCTTTCATCTTCTCCTCCTCTCACTCATCTTTCTCTCAGTCTGCAGCTGTGGAAGAGTGAGGAGCAGAAATGCAGCCAAGCAATTTGCAAAAACGACCTCAATCAAGATACAAAGTGCAAAGCGCTACATGGCAAGTGAAACGATGTAGTTCTAACGCTGGTAGTAGGCAGTGGAACTTTCCAACATGACACCCACCAGTATAACCCCTTCCTCAACAACATCCTCCTGAGGCCACCGGAAAGCCGGAAAAGAAGGCACCAATATCATCCCTCATTTAACAGGAGCAGCAGAAATGGAAACTGCCAATACAGCTATTGCGTGGATTCATTTGGATGGACGAAGAAGTAGAATCGCTCCTCCGTGTAACGCAAGAAGTCCACATAGCACAAGTTGATCCTCCGCCATTTTTTGATTATGTTCGTTCTCAGCAACTGCACATGTCCAAACGCATGGGGGGGTGTAGTGACGTAATTGCAGCCAGAGAGTTTGCCCCTTTTTGTTCACATGGCTGCGATACGGCTCCTCACCAAGCAGTGTATCCGTTTTGTTCCCCCTGGAGGCTGTTTTTCAAAGCTTGCAATTTCACCCCCTTGAAACACCTACGCCGTGTGAACAAAGGCCAATCTGTCAAATCTATCATCTGACAGTCACAGCATCTCTGTGTAAACGGCTCCTTATGAGAGCAGCCTGTACCTGTGTGTATGATGGAGGAGCTGTGTTTCAGTCCGTTCTGGTGATGACTGCTCCTCACTGACTTCGACTTGAACTCTTTTCTGGGACGAGTGTTTTCTGTGGAGATTCTGTAGTGAGAAACAAATACACAGACAATTAGCAAGAAACACAGACACAAAGATCTGAGCTGATCTACTCTACTCTACCCTGATTGAGAGTGTTTCCACTGGCCCTGTTTAACCCTTGTATTATGTTATTATGTAGTACCAGATCCTTTTTTAGTCCCTTTGCCCTGGTTCTATCTATCCAGGCCGAGCTGGTACTAAAGCGTTCCATCAGCATCCATGGTTACCAAGATACTATTGCGCAACCGAGTAGAGTAGAGTAGAGTGTAGAGTGGAGTGAAGTGGTGCTGGCCCGGGACCGGCAGGTACGGGGCAGGGTAGGGTAGAGTAGAGTAGAGATGGTGGAAACAGGGCTTATGTAACTGGTCTCACCTCTTCTGCAGCTTGGTGCTCAGCTCCTGCAGGATTTGACTCGACTGTTGGTGATACTCCAGCGCCGCCGCGATCAGAGCAGACAACTGGCTTACCTGCTCCACCTAAAAAGGCGGGACAGAGGGATTACGGCACCGTCAAACTAAAGCCAGGTTACCTCCCTTTTGTGTTTCATAACGCATGTTGTGAAAAAATAAGACTTAGCATACTGTCTTCATATTATTGAAAACATTCTATCTTTTGAGTGAGTAGGAGCCATGTGAGTCACCATTTGATTCTTTGGGCTGAGAGCTGATTGAGGTGGGTCCTTTCTTATTCACTTTTTTGTCTGAAAAAGCTGATAAAGATGTGACAGAGGCCAAAAACACATGATGTGAAGGAGCAATAGGAGTAACTGTTTAAGAGCCAGGGACTAGAGACAAAGATCTCTCGCTGGCCTCCCGCTCTCTGGTAGCCTTCTCTCTGGTAGCCTTCTCTCTGGTAGCCTTCTCTCTGGTAGCCTTCTCTCTGGTAGCCTTCTCTCTGGTAGCCCTCACTTAGGGGTGGATTTGTCAATATGCTTTTTCGCATTATCAGTGTTCTTCCTGTGTTACTTGAATTTGATTTTTAATGTTAATATACCGTATGTTTGTGCATGTTTTTCAAAGATGATTCACACAGCATGCAGAGAATAGTTCTGTGCCTGTATGGTCTTGGGTCACATTGCTGCGGCGCCGTTAGCAGTGTTGTTAGCAGCCACAGGATGCAGACTTCAGTTTGCATCCTCCATGGCAGCTAACACGGAGGATGCGGGGCACTTGCTGTTGTTTGTTCAGCAAACAACAACAAGTGCCCCGCAGTCACGTATGTATTCTTTTAAAACTTGAATTCCCAGAGAGCCTACCTGCTCTATTGCCCTTCTCACGCACGTATGTGTCTGCGGCATTCAGAGTAATATTATGGGATGCATGGGCAGGTCATTCGGACATGCTTCAACGCGTTAATTTTTTAACGCGATAATTACATTTTTTTTATAATTTTGACAGCCCTAAAAAAAAATATATCGAGATATTTATTTTTGCCCATATCACCCACCCCTACCCCCTCTCTGGTATCCCCCTCTCTGGTATCCCCCTCTCTGGTATCCCCCTCTCTGGTCTCTTACGTCGCTCTCGAGGAAGTTGAACATGCTCCTCTCTGCCAGATCTTTGCTCTCCTCAAACTTCTCTACAGCCAGCCGGATCTCCTCGTCTGGGATCTTCCCTTGACGCTTCTTCTTATAGTCAAAGTCTAACCGCCGACCCTCCAGCTTCTTCAGGTGATGCTGCGAACATATTCAGGGCAGAGCATTACGTCAGCTGAACATAACATTTAGAAAGACGTTATACTTCAGGCTTATACGGTAATAAGACAAAGAGTGTGGAGAAGCTAGTGCTTAAGTGAATGCGCTGGAAACAGCAGCACGTCCTAAGTAGCTCTGAAACAGTTGCTTTTTTCTACCTGAAATGTTGCTGTAGTAGAGTGTTCACGGTTTTGCACTGGTCCAGACCGGAGCGGCGAGGATTCATGGACCGAACAAAACAAATCAGGCAAAAATCCACTGGAGGAATGCTAACTTAAAAAAAAAAAAATGCTAACAAAGCATTTAGCATTTTACTTTGGACTAGAGCAGAGAAAATGGTCCCAACCAAGCGGCTACAGCAACTCTGCTGCTGTGACCCATCCTGCTCCACCCAGCGGTTACACCACCTCTGCTGCTGCTGCATTGTAATACTATAGTTAGGTGTTTTTAGAATTATTATTTTGAATTATTAGAATGATTATTTTTTGTATGGATGGATGAGTTTCTGCTGCTACTGGACACCTGCATTTCTCCTACGAGGATTGATAAAGTATCTATTTATCGTTCTATGTTGTTGATTTGAGGTTTTCCTGTGTTGCTCTTTCCTGAATTGATCTTGGTAGTTGCGCTGACGTTTCTGTTTTCTGGTGCTGAAATATCTTCCTGTTTCTCCAATGTTTGTTTTATTGCAGGTTCTAGACTTGGGATGCACTTCTCCACAGACCAGGGGTCTGGTCAGTCTGATGGATCAGAGTGTCCTGCCTAAAAAACTCAGGTATCTCTCTTTCTTGTCCTTTTGTACCATGATCTCCTTGAGGTCCTTCTCCTGTAAATGTTGCAGAGGGTCAATGAAGTTCTGTTTGACGCTGATGTCCAGAGAGTCTTTGATGTCAGCCATCTGCCTCATGGCTTCTCCAATGTCCACCAGAGAGCAGCCTGAGGACAAAAACAGAGGACATCTATGAGGCCTTCACGAAGTTGTGGATTCACCAACAACTTAGAATCAAACAGTTTGAACACAGGAAATGCATATAAACAAACACATAAGAGCCAGTGGGCCATTTCTGACCACTGTCCAGAAATGTCCAGAAATGTCCACAATCATCTCTTTTCTTAGATCTTCCTGCATCAGACAGGAACCGCTCAGAAATGCAGGTCTGGCTCTACAGCCTCGGTCATTGATCTACAGGGATCGCTACAGGGATCTCCTCCTTGAGGTTTCTCACTTTTTCCCACTGGGTTTCTGAGTGGTTCTTGCTGATACAGGAGGGTCTAAAGACAGTGAGGAGCAATGACATTGCTTCACATTTATTAACATTTCGGGACAGTGATTATCTCGCTCCCTATGGACCAATGTGTTTATTTTTATTGCATTTCCTGTGTTCAAACGGTTTGATTCGCTGATCTGTTGTTGGTGAATCTAAAACTATTTAAAGTCCTCCGAAACAACTGCTGTTATGGTTTATACACAAATAAATTGAATTGAATTGGTCTTCCTTGTGCTCTTACATGTTTCTAGAGGCCAGGTCTCCATAGGATCTGGTCCAAACAAACCAAACACACAGGTTTAAGATAAGAGTTCCTTTATTCGTCCCACAGTGGGGAAATTTCGATGTTGCAGCGCACAGACAGGAACGTAGTAAGAGCACACAAAATATACAAAAAAAGTAGTAGCTGTATTACTTAACTATCTGTAAATGCTGTAAATGCTTCGATACCAGTCTTTCAAAATAAAATATATATATGTAGTAGTGCAGAGTTATATACTGTACATATAGTGCCGGATAATAGGCAGATAAGTAAAGTGACATTGTTCAGTGACATTCTGAAGGAGCAGTATTGCACATTGCACATGATTTAGTATTTACTTATTTACAGATGGATGACATTTGCAGACTCAGCAGTTCTTATTGTACAGTCTGACAGCAGCAGGAAGGAAAGACCTACGGAACCTCTCCTTCACACAGCGAGGGGTAATTAGTATGTCACTGAAGCTGCTCTCCAGAGCAGAGAGTGTCCTGCAGGGGGTGACAGTCATGGTCCAGCATAGATGTTAGTTTGTCAAGGACCCTCCTGTCCCCCACCTGCTGCACTGTGTACAGGGAACAGCCCAGGACAGAGCTGGACTTCCTGATGACCTTGTCCAGCTTCTTCCTGTCCCTCTCTGTGATGCTGCTGCTCCAGCAGACCACACCGTACAAGATGGCTGATGCCACCACAGAGTCATAGAAGGTCTTCAGGAGTTTACACGTGTCTTACGCTTGAACTCAATTTGTCTCCCTTAATCTTAATTCACAGTATTATGTGTTCCTGACTGTGCCACAGACTGTACACACATTAAGCAGCATCACACACAGTCTGGTACCGAATATGGAGCGGTCCCCCAGCTCGTGGCCGTAGCGCAGCATGCAGTCCCCCAGCAGCGCCTCAGCCTGCGGGTACCCGGTGCTCTTCACCTGCCCCCGCAGCTTTGACACCGTGTTGAGCATGTTCAGTTTGGCTCGAGACGCTGTAGAGACACAACAGACTCATATCCTCTCATCGCAACTAGAAGAGGAGTGGAACCAGAGAGAGACACCAGAGAGAGACAACAGGGAGAGAGAACAGAGTGGCCAAAGAGAGGACAGATAGAGAGAGGTCAGAGAGAGGCCAGAGAGAGGCCAGAGAGAGGTCAGAGAGAGGCCAGAGAGAGGCCAGAGAGAGGCCAGAAAGAGGCCAGAGAGAGGCCAGAGAGAGGCCAGAGAGAGGCCAGAGAGAGGCCAGAGAGAGGCCAGAGAGAGGCCAGAGAGAGACCAGAGAGAGAGACCCAATAGAAAGACACGAGAGAGAAAGAGACCAGAGACTCACTATTGTAATAAATCACATCCTGCTAGATTTTTCACTATCATTCATTTTAACTGAAGATGGGAGAAACAGCTTTCTTCTATTACGCTTTTTGTAAATGAAACACTGAGCTCATTTAAAGCTATCATTAAATTTTGGACTTCGTCAGTCTTCACTTTTTAGACTGAAAACTGAAAAAGAGAAGATCACCCACACTCAGCCAATCATCTTTCAGCCCAAAGAGTCAAAAGTGACCAGAGGCCTCCCGCTCTCTGGCCTCCCGCTCTCTAGTCCCTCTCTCTGGCCTCCCTCTCTCTAGTCCCTTTCTCTGGCCTCCTCTCTCTAGTCCCTTTCTCTGGCCTCCCTCTCTCTGGCCTCCCTCTCTCTAGTCCCTTTCTCTGGCCTCCTCTCTCTAGTCCCTTTCTCTGGCCTCCCTCTCTCTGGCCTCCTCTCTCTAGTCCCTCTCTCTGGCCTCCTCTCTCTAGTCCCTTTCTCTGGCCTCCCTCTCTCTAGTGCCTCTCTCGAGTCTCTCTCTCTCTTGTCTCTCTCTCTCTAGTCTCTCTCTCTCTAGTCTCTCTCTCTCTAGTCTCTCTCTCTAGTCTCTCTCTCTCTAGTCTCTCTCTAGTCTCTCTCTAGTCTCTCTCTAGTCTCTCTCTAGTCTCTCTCTAGTCTCTCTCTAGTCTCTCTCTCTAGTCTCTCTCTCTAGTCTCTCTCTCTAGTCTCTCTCTCTAGTCTCTCTCTCTAGTCTCTCTCTCTAGTCTCTCTCTCTAGTCTCTCTCTCTAGTCTCTCTCTCTAGTCTCTCTCTCTCGTCTCTCTCTCTCTCGTCTTTCTCTCTAGTCTTTCTCTCTAGTCTTTCTCTCTAGTCTCTCTAGTCTCTCTCTGGTGATAGACCTTTTGGATATTTGATTTTTACAAATGTTCTTACAAACCCACAGGGCATCTGACCTGATTTCACAACAATCGCCGACAAAGGAGGATGGAAGTGAAAATAAACACGTTTTGGGGTACCTGGGTTTGGCTGAAGGTACTCTGTTGTTTTGGACAAAAGGTCAAGCACTGACTTGTTGGTGACGTCAATTTTCTGATGAAAGACAAGAGCAGAGATTGAATGGGAGGGAATCATAGACTTTGACAAGAGTGGTGTTTTTGTCTTATTATGGGAAATACTGACTCTCTCCATCTCCAGGAAGTCCTCGTCCAGCTTCGTCCCCTCGGCTCCACTTATCTTCTCGCTCAGGAGCTGCACACGACACAAACAAACACATGTTGCTCATTCCTTTTATTAGTGTTTATTAATAATAACATTTCCCCCAGAAACGGTTGAACATTTCAAATCATGCTGTCTTAAACCAAACAGTAATTAGAAACCTTACAATAGCCAAGAAAAATATTCACATTTTCCAGTTCTACATTGATTTCATATAGTTTTGGCTTCTAGCTTCTCAGCAAACGGTTCGAATCCCGGTCGAAAGAGGGTCTTTCTGAGTGGAGTTTGTATGTTGACAGAGAAAGACCAGAAAGAGATGAAGCATGTTGACACAAGTCCCTCCAGCGTGACCATGGTCTTGCCCTGGTCTCCTCCCGGTGGGACATGCTCAGGAGGAGCAGCGGTTCTACTCCGAGCCCCCTGTGTGACTGAGCTCCTCATCCTATCTCCAAGGAAGCTCCCAACCAATTTTATGTGGCCAAAATAATAAATTAATATATAAGATATTTATTTGAAAATGCAATTTTAGAGAAGAGAATAATCTTTCATATTTCTGAGCGGAGTTTCCATGTTTTCCCTGCGTGTCTGCGTAGGTTTCCTCCAAGTTTCTTATGTACAATAAGAAAAACCCTCTAGCTCTGGTTCTGAAGAGCATCTGAAGTTGGGTCCCCTGTTACTACGGCGACCACTGCTCGTGACAGAGGCCCTTGTGAATGATAGATAAAATTCACATAACATGAACAAGTAACAAGTGGAAATTTTGGAACCATGCCCAGGTGAAGCAATTTAGGCTCTACAAGAAAAAATGACAAAATATGCACATTATGGCACACAGTCAAGTTCTAGGTCACAGTTACACACACTCGGGTGGATTCTGAGACCTGCTGAGGCTGCAACACAGATTCCTGGACAGATTTATGACCCACATATGAAACAGAAACAAAAGTCTGAGGGCACTGGTCCAGCTCAGCACCATGACTTCTACAGCAGGTCTGGACTGATCCCTCATTCCTCAATCTTATGACGTTATAGGACCCGGTTTCCTCAAGATTTTGCCTCAATCTGGAAAAAAAATGTGGGTATTCTGAACAAAATGTGCAGGATACCCACATTTTTTTATATTTTCATACTTGTTATATTCAGTGAAATTAAATAACATTTATTCTTGCATAGAACCTAAATCACAACAGTAGTCTTCTCAGAGGACTTGACAAAACCGTTGAAATCGGCAACACGGATCTGAGAATCAACAGTTAAAACACAAAAATATAGAACACATATGTATTGGTCCATGGGGAGTTGACAAATCCATGAATGTCGGTAAATGTCCATAAATGTTGAAGAATGTTAGAGTGTCCTGGACCATCACAATAGTCCTTCTTGTTAGACCACTAACAGTCAGACCCTCCTGCATTGGTGAGGAAAAAATAAAACGTCAAATATGACGTGATATATACTATATTTGTGTAATATCTATATTACACAAATATAGATACAACTACACATATACCTGTATACAATATAATATTCCCAATATACTATTTAAATAAAGGAAAGGGCATATGTAAATCTCAGACATGAAAAAGCACCAGAGTTAGCCAATTTTATGCTGTTGGGTTTTGCACATAAAGTGCACTTAACTGTTATGTTCCACACCTCTTTGTCTCCAGAAAACTCAAAACAATGCTATTGCCGCAGTCCCGCAGATTTTTTCTCCCCTGCGGATCTCATGGTGGCATAGTATAAAACAAAAAACAATTACATTTTGGGTTAAAATGCAATGTAACGCATGTTACATGGCCTCGCACCAAAGTACATCTGTTACATCTACTTTCGGCCATATAACCAACTTAGAGTTTACTTGATAAAGGGAAATTGTAACCCTTTAAAAAAAAAATCTGAAGGCACTTTTCTGTTTTTGCAAATTAATTATTCATTTATACATTCGAAACGTTCAGAGAAGTGAGGTCCTCATGCACATGTGCCACATAACGTTTAGAATACATGAAAAGAGAGAGAGCTGTCTGACTTTGTTTCAGACTAAAGTTGTTTCTTGCACACAGACTTTTCCTGTAACAGGAGAGAGTTGGATCCGCAACAAAAGCAAAGGTTTAACATTAGCAGCGACGGTGATGAGTACCATGACGTCAGAACTCTGTGCATGAGTCCAATTAACACCTTGGCCCCAAAGTGTAAGATTCAACAGCAGCACGTGGAGAACCTGCTCCAGAAGAGAGACATGACTCTCATAGAGAAGTGAGAATTACACAGAGAGAGAAGGAGGAATACAAGAATCTCTTACTCCAACAACTACTGAAAGGAATCTGGCAGAACCAGGGCTTAAGATAGATCAGATCTCCATATTGTATTATTCCTGACTGACGATAATCAATACTCAAGCTGTGACAATAATAATAATAATAATAATACCACCTTGTATCTAGATTGCGCTTTTTTCCGAAAATCAAAGGCCCGGCCTCCACAGGCCCAACTCTATAGTTTAGTTGAGTCACAACAATTTAATGAGCTGATGAAGGGTGAAGCACTCAGCTCCAGTGGAAACTATCACTGCTCATAAATATCCAAAAGGCAGACATGTCTTTGAGGTCTCGAACACACAAGCTTCATCCCAACCACTCCACATGCAGCTGCAGGACGGCACCAAGTGGGTCAAACCAGGGTAAAATTAGCCCGAATCACACTGAGCAGAGCTTTGTAGGACAATGGCACGGATGGTTGATTGATGAAAAACAGGCTAAATCTGACAGTCTCTCTTTTACACTTTAAGTCAGGACAGTCAGGTCATATGTTGATTTTTCGCTTCAGATTCTCTTAGGTATTAGTTTGCCTGGTACGCGTGGTAACGTGCTGTCAGCGCGCCCAGTAGTTAGCGCCTTGCTGAAACAATGGCTGAGCCTGAGACAACACGCAAAAAAGAATTAGAAATATACACCCCTAGCAAACTCCTAGCATTCTCGCTTCTCAGGAAGAAGGACCTGGGTTCAAATCCCGGTCGGAACAGGGCCTTTCTGAGTGGAGTTTGAATGTTCTCCCCGTGTCTGCGTAGGTTTCTTCCGGGTACTCCGGTTTTCCCTACCAATAAAAACATGTACAATAGGTCTGGCATGCGCTTCCTGTACTGGCGACCCCACTCCCATCTCTGTGTGGAGTGAGAGGACAAATGCCCACAATTGTAAACCTCTTTGTGACTCTGGTCTGTTAAAGGCGGTAAATAAATAACTAGTGGGGGGCACTGGGAACCGAAGGGTACCTCACGATACGATACGATACACGATACAAAGCTCACGATAACGATATTATCACGATAACGATATTATCACGATAACGATATTATCTGTAGGGTGAGGAAAAGGTGAGCGCCAATCGGGTGTGAATAACAGACCCTTTCCGTAAACATGCCCTCCCTAGCTCCTGAGACTTCAAAGCAACTGCGGGTTCAATTGAAGGTTAACATTCACCAGGAACACTACAACGAGACCCAGAGGGGCAATAAAACAACAGAACAGGACATCTGTGTGCCCCCTGCCAGACGGAAATCAGGAATCAGTCATCAGCAATCGCTCATGAGACATTCCACAACCTGAGACTCTCCCACGGCGCTCTGGCGCTCCCTAGCGGACACTGGACACCACTGCACCCAAGGCGGACACCCGAAAAGGACATTACTCTGTAATATTATGTCGATAACGTTACGGACCTTACTCGTGTGTGTTGATGTCTGTGATGTAAATGCACTGCGTGTTTGTACATGTCTTATGATCATTTGCATCAATCGTGTGTGTTTCCTTTACAAACTGTCTGTTGTGAAGGGGTTTGTCCACAGAGGGCAGGGGCGGCATGGACACGCCTCCCCTGGGAAGTCAATATAAACACGAACAATGCCATAGAACGTCCTCTTGTTTTCTCCCGAATTCACCATTCCAACTTCCCTATCAACTCTGCGGCAGCATAAGTACGTGCCTCCAGCAACGACTGTGCCCGCCCGCACTGAGGCCTTCCGCTTTCACGCAAGCCTCCTTTCTGGTTGGGATTTATGAACTCTTCATAACTAGCCGGCCCTGGCTCTGGACTCTGCACGCGCGACTCATTCCGGACTGAGTTGTCACGCCTGGATCCGCAGTTGGACCACGCCGTTGGCTTCATACCTCCCGCCAGTTCGAACAAAGACCACGTGGACGACATCGCCTCCACCCTATTCTTCATTCTCATCCTCCACTCCATCCTCATCCCAGTCACCCATCCCCTCTGAACGGCTCAAAGTAAGACCTGTTCCCGTTAAATGTGCGATTTGAATGATATGTGTACAACTCCTGCTTTTAATGTGACCAGAAATCCCTTTTTGTTAAATTTTTATCCCACTTTGTAATCAATAAAACCATGTTAACACTGTAATTCCATTCCCGAGCGTCGTGTTTATAAATACAGGAAATCCCTGGCAGATCTTTCGTACTCAACCCATTAGATTCATAAGACTGATATCGAGGCAAATATCCTGGTTCTGTTGTAGACTCTCAACCGTCTGCTGGTGCCCAAAATAAATAAGACAGATCCATTGGTGGAACGGCGAGTTCCTAATCCGGAGACTAGCCGCTCCACACTACTAAATTTATAACATAATCAGCAATATAAGTAGTTACCCTACATATATGGTGCCCTGTTTGTGAGATCCGCGTATATAACCTGATTTATCAACTCGTACTCTGTGAATTGACCGGTTAATACACGCTAACCCTACTGCTGCTACGCTCAAAGCGTTTCCCCCCACTCCCGCACCCCCTCTGCTCCTCTGCCCCGTTGCTATGGTGAATTCGAAAACAATTTGAGCGCCCCCGCGCCCTCGCTAGCGTATAGCGCCCCCGTGCATGCACCAGACTATATAATTTAGTCTCAAATCCCGACTTTTCGTACGGGTACTACGCATCTCCTACAACGTGTCGCCCCGCTTGGCCAGCGGGCAGCGTGGAGTGTGAAGCCGCTTAAACTCTTAAGAGAAAGCGCAAAAACTTGTCCTT